GTAGCTACAACTTTCATTAAGAGTTCCGAAGCTGAATCAAGACGGAGACACTTCGTCCTAGCTGGTCTTTTAGTCAGTGCTTCTGGCCGCTACAACATGATATATCTTCTTCTTTGGTCCTTTCACATTGGCTTGATCCATTGCTTCTCATAGCCTCCAAACACCACAAATTCATCTGCCATATACTCCAAATGCACCAAACATTCTATGCATATCCTAGATATACTCTAAGTTCTAAATGGATCTAAAAACTAATACTAAATATATACTAAAATGATATAATTATAGAGGATAATAAAAGGAATGAACGTGTCTTGGTTATGCCAAAACATCTTCATTCTGGCCCACACACTCCAGCGCCTTTTCAATACCAATTGGAATTTCATTAGCATGTATATCACCATTCTCCTCCACTGAAAACTGCATATCTGCCTCCTCATTCTCAGAAAATGCATCCATTTCCTCCTCAATCCCAAAAACCTCCCATGTTTTCATAAAATCATAACTCCGCTCGAGAACATCAGTCCCCATCTATGTAATTGCCTTTGTCCCATGCGAGTTTGCATCCCATGAATCTGCCATTACCACTCCATCAATTATGTTTCCCAAATCGTCCATACCAAGCATCACCGCCTTAAAATCAAGCTCTTTGCATACCTTCTTTACCGAGCATTGTATTGGGATCTTAGGCCTATTCCCAATTTCGTTCTCGCTCATGCGTCCCAGGTCTGCAACCACCTTTGTTTCTTTTATTTTATACTAAAGCCCTCTGGGCCCTTGTGAATGCCCTGTGATGTTCCACCATAACGGTCCTCATTTCCCTTGGCCGAAGTGATCTAGATGGCATCCAGAATCTCCCCATCTTGTCACCATTATATTTATCTCCATGGAAGTTTCCTCACCTCTCCTCTCTAGCCACAGATACCTTTTCTTTACCCTTTAGTGAATCCCCATTAGTTTGTTGCAACTCTAAATCATGTCTGCTAGTTGCCCCCTTGCCCTGTAGAGAACTTTTGTAACTCGCAGCTCCACCATCCTGAATATCTTCCTTGTATCGGCTCTCATCCTTTCTTTCTCTCATCAGGTACAATAAGGGGCACTTGCTCGACTCGTGACATAGGCTATATCACTTTTTGCAGAACATGTGGAGCCTCTCATAGCAAAGGATCACCGTTGTCTTAACACCACCCCAAAAATTCACTGCCGTCAAGGTTTAAAACCGTCAATCCTTATTTGTACTCTCCCACCATCTAAGTTCACACTTTGGACCTCTTTAATAGCTTTCCCAATACTCCCAAAGCTTGGTTCCACCCAAAAATTCAAGGGGATGCCCATCATACACACCCAAAAGGTGAGATTGGAGGTAATTCGGTGCCATCACTAGTTCCCAACGAATAAGAACCACCATTCAGTCATCAAAGTGATATAGATCCATTTGTAGCAACGAAATGATGTCCTATTTTTCTTCAAAATCAAATTGGAAAGGGCCCATTCCAAGATCCGCTCCATCCACTCTCTTCTCCACCTTCTAGATCTGTGGCAACATGAATAGAAATGAATTCATATGTTGTACCATCGGGTTCATACACCTCCCAATAAGAGTACGAGAATAGCCTCTGATCAACCCCGTATTGTCAGACCTCGTCACTATAATCTTCAACATGTGGGGCCAATGTGTCATTGCCTTTGTTGCATCCACTTCTGGAACCAATCCGACTTAATTGAGACATTTTGGTATCAGGAAAACCCAGAATATTAAACCTTTGAAAACTTGATTGCAAGAGAGGGTTAACAATGAGATATACATTATGAATGTCGATGTTAACACTATTTATACAATTTAGGCCTGGGACATTCCAACAATTAACTTCTGAAATACATTTATGAAATTGCCAAATTATAACCTACTGATATCAATATTCACAATAAACAAATCTAATTAATACCCATTACTGTTGTCATATTTGTCTTCCTTTAAACCAAATTAAGCATGTGATCTTATGATTCCACAAATCATGTTGCTCACATATTGGCTGATCGCATACGTGAAGGTCTGTATTAAGCTCCGTAATTTGTTGCCAAAAACCTTAACATCCTGACACGTCCGAGTTTTCGTTGTTGCAAGCACAATCCTAAAAAATCGTAATTGTTCCTTTAATTGAGAAATCAAGATGATTTATATACCTTTCACTTTGTGCTAAAGCTATCAAGTAAAGATTTTCTTCCCCACATTAATCCCTCCTTTCTCTTGTAATGAAAACCCATAATCCTAAGAGAATAAGAAAAATTGTCATAACTTTCCTCTCCTTTGAATATCCAAAAATCTAAAACCTATTGATCTCTCCATTAGATTGTAGTTGCCAACAAAGAAACCAAATATTGGAATTTCTCTCGCGTCGAGCTGCGTGTGGAAACCCTAAGTAGAGGAGGATTGAGACTCAAGCCCATAAGCTCATACACCTAGATCTATAACCCTCTTTATTCAAGTGAACCAAACTCCATGAAGCCAAACCACCCAAATCAGCCTCGCTCTCCAATTTATATACAATCAACCGTTTCCAATAAGATTGACCTGGATCTGCTATATAGTGTGCTAACCCTTGACCGTGAAGCAATCGATGATGCAAGATTCCTTGAAAGTGGCTTCCCCCCTCCCCCCTGCCCCCCTCCCCCCCCCAATCATCCCAATCCATCCCGAGGCTCCCACAACATGCAACTAATAATCCTTTTTAATTGAAATCCATAATCCTTGAAATCCACCAATTTCTTTTCAACTGAAGAGCATATGAACCCTATATCGCTTGACGTATCACCTTTTTTGAAGAGAAAAGCATTACTTTTTTTCAGCAAAATTTTCCTTTATGTTTGAAAAATACTATATATTAATTTATAATATTTGCATAAGATAACATATGTTGTAAATAATTGTTGAGTCCAGCTCTCCGAAATTTAATCAGAAGATTTCATATGAACAAATGGACCCATTCAACGGGCCCTATCAAATCTATTATAAAGTTTTAATACTATGTCCCTGAAGGCCGGCTCACCGTTTGCTAGTTGATCTCAGATCCCAAACGGTGGATATAACATATTGATCGGATACTACTCATCCTCAAGTAGACAAACCCGTAAGGTGAAGCTCCCCCAAGACGACAAACACACACCCCCGTAAGTATCCCGTATATGGCTCCTGCAAAATAAATGCTAGAAAGAGGGGAAATAGTAGCATTTGATGTAACGAATATCAACAAGTAAAAAGAACTAAAGGAGCTTAGAAACAGTACCGGCTGCCCGAAGAAGGAATTTAGAATCACTACTGCCTGCCCGAAGAAGGAGTTTAGAATCAGTACTGGATGTCTGAAGAAATGCCTATAGCCTGAAGATGTTAACAGTCGCGACAGATAACCCTAGTGTCCCCCAAAGAAAACTACGAGGATAAGCACATGAACCCACGGGACCAACCAAAGGTTGGGTCCCAAGAACCTTCCCACAAATCATCCCCGTTTGAAGAAGGTTTACTTGGACGTCCTAGCCTGTGAAATATCAGAAACTTTGTGTGATGCGTGCAAGTTTAACTAACAAGTTTTACTCTCAAAACAAATATTGTTGTTTTGTGAGGGTTATAACTTTTTTAACTTCTCTAAACCTACTAACTTTTTTGGGGGGTTTTATTTGTCAATGTTTGTAGAATAATGAAACTGTTATCAATGTTTGTAGAATAATGAAAGTGAAGGCAATTTAAACTGTTGTAAATCAATAATTAAAAGGCGTTGAGTCTATAAAATTCTCTAGTATTCATGAATAGAATCACAATATAATAGATAAGGACTTATGAATAACTAAATTGTTTAGGTTCTTTAAGCTGAAGCGGTTTATTATGGTCACCCCTAGTAGGAATAAATAACAATATCTGCACTACTCCAATGAGTAAGTGACCAACCTCCCACGACGCAGACTAATGCTGTTTAGAACTGGTTTATGAATACCCACAATGGTCATAATTTAAATGACCAATCTATTCGTTCATAAATTGCTCAATGTTCATCGGTTATCATTTCTATAAGTTTTTGATGTTCCTTACTTTTATTTTTCGCGATATAATTCCGCTGATCATCTAAAAAACAGTTGCCAATATTGCTGAGCATTATATTTTAGATTTCTGAACAAAGTTATGTTTTTAGTTTGAGCAACTATCAAATTAAGAATTTTCATGTTCATAAAAATTAACCAGATACAACTAATATTGAGTAATAATTCTTAATATATAAGTTTTAAAAAGTCAAGAAAGTTTTATAAGTAATGTACACATACCAAGATTTCTAATGTCTGGTTCTCTCGTTAATAAGTATATCATTAATTAAGTATTCTCAGGTTTCCCAAACAACATGAGACATAGACATACAAATTGCAATCAACTTTATAGCAAGGAATCTGGGTATATATTTACTAACACACTAGTTGTTGGCTTTTTTAATACATTGACGTCATCCAACATTTGCTTCACAAGTCTCCAGATAAGTAAGATAGACAAAAGTATCTACAGTTTTTATGTCTTCATAAGATTTTGGTATTTTTACGTAGTTAGACAACACTCAAATAATACTTCATGGATGAATATGTGCAATCCTTCCTATACCAGATCCTCTCTTCCTAGGCTTCCATAATCTTTATATAATTAATGTTCTTATAATGTAGTACGTTACGTGCAAAATCATAATGTTCTTATATTGTAGTACGTTACGTGCAGCCAGCCAATTTTGAACCTAGACGAAGAGACTTTGATGAGAGTTGTTGCATTTTGGAGATCGTCTCTCAGTACAACTACACAAAGTAGACAAATATTATTTTGATCATTTTGAAATTCACCCAGTAAAGGTTTGCTCTAACAGTTGTTCTAACCGTTTTCTTTTTCAATTTTCACAAAGTAGTGTTTATGAGATTATTTTGATCCTCTCAGAATCATAAAGGTTGGTATGTATAGTGCTTTAGTATAACACAAGTCAATCACTATGCACTGATTGATCTAGAGGTGTGATCAAAACCTTTTGAAGAATTTCATAACCAGCTAAGTTCAAAGCTCCAAGAGGAGCAGTCCAAAAGAACCTTGGAACAACTCCTTTGTAGAAAGCAAGAGGACCCTCATGTGTGAGAATCGAATAAGCAGCCATCCACATCGATAAATCCACACCCTGTGGAGCCGTCATCATTCTTGTCTTGATCACATCGAATGGTGTCGTTAGCACAGCCGTGAAACCACCAGACAATGCTCCAACCGCGATAGCCTCCCATGGCTCAAGCTCCCTCCCTAATTGTCTCTCCACCAGCTTTAAAACTCAAACCCAACCATGTCTATGTCTTAGGAGATCAAGAATATGAAGAAGTTTATGAAAATCAAGAAAGATTTGTAATTTTCTAGATCTTTCATTTGCTCGGGTCCATAAGCCTAGGTATGAAACTTCTTGGTTAACAAAAAGGAAAGATTACCTTCTTTGATTCACTGTAAAGTCCCATGCCAGCAACATAGAACGGAACCTCGCGCAAAAGGGTAACACCGGTACCACGAAAGAGTCCTTTGAGCCCATCTTGATACCAAGTCACAACCGTAGCTTTCACTATGTTATCAAACAGGTTAGCTTGTAACCTTTGTTTCAAAACCTCACAAGGTATACGCAGTGTTGTCCCCAAAACTGCGCCAAGAAAAGACGCTGTCGACTGAACCTACAGAATCAAGAAAACGAATCAAATGAAAAAAAGATGATGCAGCTGCATGAAGCTGGAAAATGAGATTCTAGTAACTTGGATGTCGAGGAGAGCGGGAGCAAAGCGCGGTAACGCAAGTTTACTTGCTTCATATATACTTGTTCTTAAACCATGGCTGAAACATCGAAAACAAGAGACCAAATCATGATGATGATTATAATCAAAAACCGAAAATGATAAGCAGACATAAAGAGATGATAACCTTGCAAATTGACCAACAACCGCAGGAATAGAACCTTTGTATAAACCTCGAGCACCACTCTCCGGAATCTTTGATAGTATTTCCAGAAAAGACAATGTTGTTGATGCTTGAACTTGTGTCTTATGAGTGAAATAGCAAATTATGAGTAATGGAAAACAATCTCATAAGCACTAAACAAGAATTAAGTCTGAGATTGTTATCACCTTGACAGTGTCCACTGGATGCATTAGAAAAGCAGAGAAAGCACATGAGATTCCTCCTGCTAATGCAGATTTGAGAAGATGTCCAAAATCCAATCCAATTCTCGGACCAATAGTTAGAGATGTGTTCAAAGAAGCTGTATCGTTGGACCTTGAATTACAGTTTCCAACTTTTGCAAACTTTAAGCTGACTATAAAGCTAGACTCATCTGAATTCGTATCGATCGAATACTCCTGACCAGGGAAGATGCTTTTGCGCAAAGATTGGTCGGATTTTTGAGAATTTATAAATACATTATTGAGAATAGAGAGTAATAGAGATTCAGGTGATACTTGTTTTCTTTTCTGAGATTTTTCCCCCATGCTTGATTTCAGTGGATCTATCGATAAACGTTGAAAACTAATTTTTCTTCATCTTCTTCAGTCATCGGTTAATTGTGGGATTAGTCAAGTTTGTGTTACTGAGACAGATCGTAGGTTGAAGATAGATCCAACTTTTCGTCGGATTATCGATTTCCGATTGTTTTGTTTGTATCTCTCTGAGTCTCTGCAAGTGTTTTCTTTAAAATATTAGTATAAGCAACAATGCCTACGAGGTATTCGACGAAATGACGACAGCAGTTTTAAAACTCAATCTGGCACTGAAAAACAAACCTCGGCATTCAAATATCGGTTCAGTTTGGTTCTTTCGGATTTCCATACAGAAAGCGAAACAAATTTGATTTGGATCCGTTCAGACATGGCTCTGTTTGGGTTGGTTCAGATTTAAAATTGAGGGAACCAATATAAAATAAAATTTGTCCCTCTTTCGGTTTAAATTAATTCAAGAAGTACCTAAACATATTCGAGAATAAACTACCTAAATACTCGAACTATTTAAAAATTTTAAAACATTCAATCAAAACTTATAAGATTTTATTAATACTATTATAGAGCAAATTTTGGGATGCTACGCAGGGTTGTGTGATTCGTCCGGGAAGTGGACTTATGCCTTAGAGTTTCGTCCTCTGGAGAAAAAGCGACGAGTTGTTCCAGTGCGAAAGCCTACTTGAGTCCTTATAACAGGGAGGTCGCCGTATGCGGTTTTGCAAGCACTACACAAAATGTTAATCGGGCTTTCGGGAAGACCAAAAGGGGGTTTCTCTTCTGAAGGTTCTCCGACGCCCAAGTCAATGAACGTCCTACCGGGAACAAGTACTCAAGAGGGTGCTTCTATATGTTCGGGTGAGATGTCTCGTTAGGAGATCGAGACATCTATCTGTTTGCGGGTATTTTGAGGGGGGTTCTACACAGAAAGAGGGAGGTTCGACAAGTATAAAAGCAAGATTCCGGGTTGAGAATTACTTATCTTGGTAGGCATTCTCTCGGGGGGAAAACAATGGGTTCTCCCTTGATCATGCTGTTCGGTGGTGCAAGTTAGTCCGATTTGACCGGGAACCTCCTCCTTGATAGGGGTTTCAGATCTGCCGAGCTCCTCCGATCCCCTTCTGGTGTGGTGATCTCCCTCCTTTTATACTAGCTTTCTCCATGTCCTGTCTTCTCCATTCGGCGCGCTAGGGAAGCAGGTGGGCTAATGATTCTTGCGGGTTTCGGGAAGCTCGCCAACTGCCTGGAAATAGTATATGGGAGTGGTTCGGCCGAGCTAGCATGGTATGTGTTAGTGTTTAGGGTAGTTCAGCGTCCACGTGTTACATCCTCCTTGGATGTGGTAAAATCGGACCTAACAGTTGCCTCCGACTTCTCGAGTGATTGAGAAATGAGTCGGGGAGTCGACTTCTCCTCAGTTTCCTGCACAACGTACATGGGTTATCCGGTTACCTAATCTGTTTGCCATTAAAGGCTAAACTAACGCGACGACCTTACCGTGTATCATGAGGGATACGTTACTAGTATAGGCAGAGCTAAGTTCTTAAAGATAGTGAAAATAAAGACTCATCCGAGCCGTGCCACGTATCCTGATGGAATACGGTACTGGCCGGGTGGTCCGGACTTCCGGGGAAGTAAGAAAAGGGGTGTCAGCTCTGACCTTGCCACGTATCGCGAAGGAGTATGGTCCCAATCGGAGGAGCGAACAAGAAAGGTTATCAATCCCGACCTTATTCGTATGTCCCGAGGGAGCACGTTATCAGTCGAGGGAATTACAATTCCGGAGAAGCGAGCCACAGGACAACTTTAATAGATGTCAACTTTGACCTTATTCACATCCGGGGGAGTACATTATTGGCCAATGGAATTACACTTACGGGGGAAGCGAACCGTGAGACGGTCATGCTAGATATGTAGAGACTCGCTCCGTCTATGTTATGCATCCGGAGGAGTATGCCGTTTGGCCGGGGGAGTTAGATGATGGAGTCCTACCCTGACTGGGACAAGAAGCCGTCTTGCCCCCTCTCATCAGGGTTATGAGTGAGGTTATAGTCCTATATGACTATGGGAATCGACATAAGACAACGACGCGGGCTAAGACACCGGCCCTAGGGCCAGAGGTGGCGTTGTTAGACGAATGAATAGATGTTCCTTGCATTACGGGGGGCTAATGCAAGGAGGAGTTGCTACTCGAATGCAGCTGGTACAGAGTAGGGCCTTTTCCGAGGGCGTTACCTCGACTCCTTTATTGCTTGGACATTATTCGGGCTGTGCTTACGCAGAAGTTTATGGGTTTTGAGAACGTGCTTGTAACATACTCCGAAGGGGAAGAGGTCGGGAAATTATCAGGAAGAGAAACCCTGCGAGTCGGCGATCTCAATTTCCTGTGGTGCCTGAGTGGCAAGCATGTCCTCAGGAGGAGCATACTGTTTTACTGCACGGCCTGCTGGAGGGAATTGGCGGGAAAGACCCGGAGGTCTGAGAGGTCAGAGCCTTGGAATCCCAAAGGGATGGTGGCCCGAAGAACAAGCAAGTCCACATGTTAGCATGCTCAGGGTGCGCACGGTCCCCTAGGGGAGCTGGCGCGTGGTGAGCCACAGGGGCCTGTGATAACAAGCTTTTAGCATGTAATGATTATCAAGATGCAACAGAGAGGTTATCAAAACTCAAGCAGCACACATTCGTAGTATAGTGCAAGAGGAATCAATCCAACCTAGGAGCTAGAAAGCGCAATGAGAATGCAAGGATCATGCAAAGCTAAGCAAATGATGAACGGTTTTGTAAAAATCCTAAAAACTAGATGCAGCGATCAAATGCAAAGCAAAACTATTTTAAAAATACCAGAGACGAGTTAACTACCATGAGGAACAAGCGGAATATTTAAAATGCAAGGCTACGAATTACTAAAAATTAACTAGTGGATCGACCACGGGATCGACCACTAGATCGAGCAACAACCATCGATCTCGTCTAAACAACCTAGAATGATGAAACTAGCGATTGACAAGAACACAACTTTATGATATTAGGATGATAATAAACGACTTAAGATACTAAGAAAGAGGGTCTATGGTTGAGGGCCACGTTCATGGGTCTCGAAGGTAAAAGCTTGTTTGAAAACTTTAGATCTACTCTCATTGAGTGGTTCCCTAGGCCTTGAAAACGAAACGAGACTCATCCATGGCGTGTGGTATGAGTCACTCCTTCATTCTCTTCTCCAAACCCATGGCGTTTGGTGGAAAAAGAGATTGAAGGGCAAGGAACACAGATTTCAAATAAACGACCTAACTAGTCTTCTTTACAACCATGGCGTGTGGGAAAGATAGACTAGCCTCTAGGATTCGATTTTCCAGGACATCTGGATCTTGTCAAGGTAAGACATCCCTCAGATCTTGGAGATCTTGGCGTGAGAGTCTCTAAGCCTTAAGCGTTCGAAATCCTAGAAGAGATGGTGATGAAGAACAAGAAAACACAAAACTTTAACCTTCTTGACCCTTTCGAATCGCCCCAACCCTAAAACCCAACAAGACTACTCGCGATTCATGAAGAAAACCGATGAAAGCGTAAAGGATGATCTCTTAAACATGATTAACGATTGATTAAAAACAAAGATTCAATATTCAAAACATAAAAAGCAAGAAAAGCTCGACAGTCTACAATGGCGAATCGCCTGAAAACGAGAGAGATAAAAAAGGTAGAAGACAGAATGGGGATAATGAAAGGGATCGTTGCCTTTTGCCAAAAATGGCCAAACCGCAAATGGTCCCCCCCCCCCCCCCCCCCCCCCCCATCGCTATGGTCCAAAACCAACTGGACGGATAAGGTTGGTCTGGGATCGATTACGGAGCTCGATCTGGCACTCGATCTTGTCTTGGATCGGATGGCTCTTAGTCAATCTCTGGGTAGATCTTGTGCTGATCGGGTTGGAAGCTCGATCCGGTCTTCGATCTGCATGGCGTCATTTACGTCCGTACTTCAGATCGTCCTCCAGACTCGATCTTGATCTCGATCCATATGCTTGCATCGACTCGGCTACTCGATCTTCTGGTCGATCTCGTCTAGATCGACCTGCCTTGCTCGATCTGCTTCTTGATCCCGGGTCCTTAGCATGCAATCCTGATCTCTCTAAGTCTCCACGAACTTCCTCACGAGCCTTAGCACGTCCACGAATCCACCATAGCTCCATAGTAGCTGAAAACAACCTGAATGCGATGCAAAATGCAAGAAACATGCAAATGCTAGTGCAAAAGTACTCTAGGACCTAAAGTGATGCAAACTAGCCTAAAGTGCAAGGTAAATGTATGAGAAACTAACTTATATGCATGCAAAATACATGAAATATGCAGCAATCCGCGAGAGTTCATGCTGAGAAAGGGGTTTCGAAGGAGTATACGCAGATTGAGAGATAGAAAACAGAGACGTACGAACGAGGAAGAATGTAAATGCGATGAGGGAGAGAAATTATACTGCTACCCATACGGGGTGATCGTGCAATTATGCCAACAAGAGACCACACAATCATGCAAACAAGAAATCAAACAATCATGCAAGCAAGAAATCAAACAGTCATGCAAGCAAGAAATCAAACAATCATGCAAGCAAGAAATCAAAAAATTATGCAAGCAAGAAATCAAACAATCATGCAAGCAAGAATGTAGCCTTGCGGGTTGAGATCATCCTAGAGACGGCCATGTTTCGTCCATAGTCGCGGGTTCCGTATAATCCGCCGCGGGGCTTGAGGTGCCCTGGCGGTTATGCTTGACCCACGCGCATGGCCCTTGTTGATATATCATGGTTTTTATGGTTTTTAACCATGGTATAAGTCCTTTTTATTGAGTCTTTT